AATAAACCTGTGCAAAGAAGTTAAGCAGGCAGCAAATGACTTTCCATCTCTTGCAAGGATCTCTACGTTTCTTCATTTGTTTCATCTTCAGAAACATCAATATTACTATAATATTTTGAAGCCTTTAAATTGCAACCTCTTAGAATTGCACCTAACTGTTTTCCAGGTCCCACTTCATATGTATAAGGAAACATTTTTCCTTTATTCCTTTCATAGATTGTGTGCATTATTTGCTCCCATTTTACTGGTGAAACCAACTGTTCCACTAAACAACGCTGAATCTGTTCCGGTTGCCTGTATTTTTTGCTATCCACATTTGAATAGACAGGGATGAGTGGTGGTTGGAAGCTGATTGATTCAAGAGCTTCCGCTAAAGGTTGCGTTGCTGATTTCATTAGGCGGGTATGAAAAGCACCACTCACGGGTAGCATTTTTACACGTGCAAATGAGAATTTCCTTGAATTTTTCTGTAGAAATTCCAAAGCCTAAGATTAAAAAAAAAAAAAAAAAAGAATTATTTCACTTCACTTTTTAAAGAATTCTGAATAACAGCTGCACACTGATGAAACGTGATCCCAGAAAAACAAGAGAAAAAGATGTTTTAGAAGCATGTAACTGGTCAATATTACTACAAGCACTAAAAATTAGGCCAGAAATACAAAAATCTTAATGTACATTCACCATCGTGACAAAAAATCATGTTATGGGCTGCCTTTATAAATGTAGTTTAGATAATTTGTGATGCCTGATGTCTTGAGATGCGTCTCCTATTGCTGGCATTTCTAACAATCGTAATTGTCAGCCTTCCATCCTTCCAAGGTGGATAAAATGAGGACCCAGATTGTTGGGGGCAGTATGCTGACCCTGCAAATGGCTTAGAGAGGGCTCTAAAGCACGGTGAAGCGGTATACAAGTCTAAATGCTATTGCTCTTGATGCAGGGAGATGGTGCAGAGATGGGTGCATGAGTGCAACAGACGAACAAGGGGAGAACGACTTGCAACCTCCTGCAGGCTTCCCCATTGATTTTGCTTGGCAGGGAAGGTCACAAATAACAATCACATGACTGCAACATTGTAATTGTGAGCCAGTTGCCAAGTCTCAAATAAGGACCATGTGACTATGGGGACACTGCAGCACCCATAACACTCTTGCACAGTGCTACAGTAACTGAACAGTTGTTGAATGAGTGGTTATAATCCAAAAACTGCCCATATTTCTTCATCTTTATAAAAGGGACCACCAATCTTTCCAAGTACCAGGCACCATGGTATGACGTCTGTGGCAAAACTCAACCTTTTAAAATAAATACTCCCGACGTAAGTTAAAATTAGATTTTACAGAAAATAAAGACGGCTTTCTTATAAACACCCTGGCAAATATGAGCTATGTCATGTTTAGCTGCTGTCATTATTTTATGTTTCTTTTTAAACCATTAACATGCTAAATATGTTGAGGGGGAAATATTTCGAATGTAAAGACAACTAATTTTGCCAAAATGATGAAAGCAGGAATAGAGAGTCATTCCAGCATCACTAGTGTCTGCCCAATTAACAAATCCTTCCAGCCTGCCAGCAGGACAGTGCATTACAGTCCAACTCATTTCCAATACAATATTCTTTATTGGCCAATTTTGATTGGACACTCAAGGAAATTGTCTCTGGTGCATAAGCTTTCAATGTGCATACAGAGAACAAAGTAATATGATACCAATAGTAGAAAGTAATACGAAAGATGAAAAGGACAACAGTAATGCAGCCCTACTACATGGGTAAATATCCTTAGACATAAGACAGGGCTGTGGGAATTAGGTGCTCAGCTAAGTGATGGCAAGAGGGGAAAAAAGTTTTTTTGTGTCCAGTTGTTTTGGCATGCAATTGGACCTTTTATTAATGCAACTAATTAGTTATTGTTATTGTAATAATTATTTGTATTATACAGATAGTCCTCAACTTATGATCACAACTGAGCCCAAAATTTATGTTGCTAAGTGAGAAATTTGTTGAGTGAGTTTGGCCCCATTTTACGACTTTTCTTGCCACATTTGTTAAGGGAATCTTAAATTGGTAACATGGTGGTTAAGTGAATCTGGCTTCCCCCATTGACTTTGCTTGTCAGAAGGTCACAAAAGGGGATCACATGACCCCGGGACACCGCAATCGTCATAAATATGCCACTGGCTAAGCATCCAAATGTAAATCACATGACCATGAGGATGCTGCAATGGTCATAAGTGTGAAAAATAGTCATAAGTCACTTTTTTCAGTGCTGCTGTAACTTCCAACAATCACTAAGCGAACTATTGTAAGTTGAGGACTATCTGAATATATACACGTATATTACAATGGTGGGTTCCGGCCAGTACGGCCTGGTACGGCCATACTGGTAGTAGTCTGGAGCAGCGGCCACCATACCGGTACGGTGGCTTGTTTGGCCCACCCGCGTTCCATTTCTGGTTTTGAAGCAACAGGGCCAATTGCACATGCACACACAGCGTGCGTCTCCTGCGCAACCTCCAACAACCAACTGGGTGTCGCAGAGGCAGTGGAGTGTGCATTCGTGCACAGCGCATGTCAGCCATGTGCACAGCACATGTCCGGCACGTGCACAAACAGACAACAAGCAGCGTACAGGTAGTGATGGTAGGACCAACCCACCACTGGTATACTATATTACTATTATCATTGCAGTATTCATTAATATTTCAATTAGTAATTAATTAATGCAATTAAGAGCATCTCAAGCTGGGAACGATGACTTGCTCTCCGAGTCATCTTTACACCGTCACCTCCAATTGATTTTTAATAATACCTGTAAGTGTCCTGCAATGACCCTGCTGTCTGGAAACAAGTAGTTTGAAACTTCACATACAGGGTCTTCTATGCCCACCGTCTTGCAGTATTCACGAGCTTCCAAACAAGCAGTTTTATAATCGGAATCTCTTCGGCCAACAACCGAGAGCATCCCACTTGGTATGACTTCGGAGGCCTCTTGCATGGCTTCAGCCCGTATCTTGACAGCATACAGGGCTGCGGAAAAGAAAAAAATATCTCTAGAGCAGCTTACCCAAGTTTAAGATTGTTGCTACAGAGCAAACATGGCTGTAGCAGTACAAAACCTAAAACATATTCACACAGTCACAACTACAAGGATCCATCACTGTGGTCATTGGAAGAAAAAAGCAGATGATATA